AATAAATTATAAATTATAAAAATTGTTAAATACTAATTAATTTACTAATATATTTATAATTCAAAATACAGTTTTATATTATAAATAAATCACTTATAAGTTATAATTATCTATTAACTGTATTTATACCGTAACTATTCAAATTTGTTAATTTAACCTTTATTAATTTAAATAATTTTTAAATTGTTGAATTACAACTTACAATTATTTATATATTAGGTACAATACTTAATACATAATTAAACTAGCTTATATATAAACATAATAACAAAATATTTATTTTTAGATATAAGTCATAAACAGTAACTTTAAGAATATTTTTTAGAAAAATATCGTCTATTCATATATTTTAGGATTTTATTGAAATTACATTTATATGAATAGAGTTTTTATAAATTTATTATAATTAGAAATTACTGATTTTATTAAATAATATTTCATATTTTAAAAATAAATACTAATATTATATAAAACAATATAAACATAATAAAATTATTACAAACTGTTTTTTTATTAAAAAACAGTTTATTTAAAATCAACCAATTGTATGATACACGATAAATATATATATATAAACAAATATATATACAAATATATAAAAAAATATAATTTTATATTTGTTAAATTATTTGTGACTAAATAAAAATTTAACAATAGCAAGCTTTACAATTTCATCAATTATATATATACTAGTATTTATAATTGTTGCTATTATATACAAAAAATCTAAAGATTAAACAAAATCGTGAAATTATTAAAATTATTAAAATTATTAAAATTATTATCATCAAAAGCTTTCATCAAAAACTTTTAATTAATTTTTCTTTATAAAATAGTGTCTCTTTTAATTATATATTTTTAAAATTTAAATAAAACATTTACATTTTATTTATATATAATAATTAATAATAATTTGTTATTTCAGATGTCATTATTATTTTTAAAGATATTTTAGTTGCTTTAGTATTATTGTTGTTAATATTTTGTTTTGTTTAATAAATTTTAAATTAGAAATTAAAAGTCAATTATAAAATTGATAAATAAACAAATTTATTAATTATAATTATAGGTCTAATGAATTACATGAGTAACAAAATATTTAATACATTAAATTAAAACACTTTTAATATGTTTTAATTGCAAACAATCTAAATGATGCCTAACATACATTAGGACTAAATGGTATTTACCAAATCCCAACTCAAATAATAGCATCCCTTACCTCTAATAGTTGAGCGCATGTTATTTAACTTATTTTCCAAAAATTCTCTCTCTCTCTCTCTCTCTCTCTCTCACTCACTCTCATTAACCAATTGTTAAAAATAGACTGAGAAATGCATGGATGTATTAATATTAGTATTAAAATGTGAGTAAAAATGTATGAAACAAAAAAAACCCAAATATCACGCAAACCTATTTTTGCTCTTTTCTTAACAAATAATTCACTGTATGATAGGGTGTGGACTATATATTGGAAAGCCTTCTGGCATTTCAGTCTTTCCCAAAGTCTTAGTGTTGTTTTGATTCTGTTTTATATATATTTTATTAGCGTTTTTGTGGAGCAATCGTTTCCCTTCCCTATCATTGACTACAGAGTATATATCAGTCAATCAGTAATACAATTATGATTAATATATTGTCCTAAATTCCTAACGACACACCACTATATTATTTTTTGTTTTTGAATCAAATGTTTATTAATACTTCGACCTTAAACTTTAACACTTAAAGTAATTACTATACATACATATCAATAAATTTATATAATTTATTTTTAAAATATAAGACGTTATTAATACATACAATGTCCAATTTTATTCGGGTCAATAATAACTGTCTATAATTTTATAAAAAGATATCATGTCAAATTAAGCTATAAATGTTTAGATGATTTATAAAATTAATTATAAAAATAACAGATTAAAAAATAGTTTCTAAAATAGTTTAATAGTATATGTATATTGATATAAATAAAGACATCAATATATGACAAGTTTGTAATATTATTATATTACAAATGCAGTGAATATATCGTGCGTTAAGAGATCAAAAACCTTTCCATTATGTATATGATATTATATACAAATAATTTTCTTTATTTTTGTTATTATTAAATGACATTAGTTTTATACATAAATTCATATAACACAATCAATGTAAAACAGTTTTATAACAAACATCGATTCGTGAAATGAGTTTTGTACTTTATTTACAGTTAGTAATTACTATTTATATTAATTTTAATAAGTATAGTTAAAGTAGTATTAATAAAAATATGAATATATATATAAATAAATTTATCTTAATTAAAATTAATAATATTTTTATTTAAAACATAAATTAACATAGAAATAGAAAAGTGCTGTATTAAAGTAAATAAATCAAAATACAGTTAGAAAATATTGAATGCAATATATGATATCTTAGTAAATGTTAATTCAATTTATAAATAATTATTTATTGAAATGTTTTGGCAATAAATAAATTCGATATTTATATAAATTATTTAAACTCACAAACAATAAGCAAAACAAATGCTAGTAATTGATATAAAAATCAAAATTATTGAATCACAAAAAGAGTTTTGTATAAAATAACTTTTGAACGGATAATGAATTGTTTTTTATTAACAACAACTTAAACATATAATTTAAAATATTATAAATAATGAATTAAAATGATTTTAAATTAATAACTAAAATTGTAATAAAATATTATAAACAATTTTTGTTTACATAGATTCAACCTTCTTATTATTTGAAATTTCAATTAATAAGTTTTATCATTAGCATAAATATCTTATTTATTTTTAGATTTTATTAATTTAAATATCTAGATATTTATTAAATAATTAGAGAGGCTAATATTTAATTTAATTAAATAATTATTTTATTTTTGTATTTTAATTAATTATAATAATATGGTTCTAAAAATAAAAAATAATAAAAAAAAACAATAAATATAATTTAAATGAAAAGAATTGTCGACAAATTGAAAACATTGAATACTTATTAAGTATTTGTTATTTAAGTGATATATTTGTTGCTAAGAAACTACAAATTTATATAAAAACAGTTTAACAAGTATTTAGATGTAAATTTAACAATTTTATTTGAAATACAATTACAAATAATATTAATAATATATACTATTTAGTTGTCATAGATTTGCTTATTATTATAAATCAACACATATTTCTATAGTTTTCATTTATAACAGAATATAAAATGTTTTTTTTTGAATTTATAGACAAATCGAGTCCAATGAAAACACTATTTCAATAATAAATTATATTTTTCAATTTCTTTAATAATCATAATTTTTATACAAACGTTATTATAAAAACAGATAAAAGCTATTTTATAAATTATGATTTTTGTTAAGCAAAAAATTACTAATAAATTTATACTGTATTTTAAAAATAAATTATTTTATTGTTACAACATATAATATATCATACTTTTTTGTTACTTAATGAGTAGAATTATTTTTACAATGTTTTTCTAAAATATCAAATTAAGTTAATTTTTCTAACAATATTTTTAAATGTATAAAAATGTATATATATTATAGGATGTCTAGCATTTTATATCACTAACAATTGTCAATAACTATTGATAAAAACAGATAAAGTTCATAAAACATTATTATTTAATTAATAGATTATGATTTATGGTTATCTATGCAAATCATCAAAAATAAAAAATATGTTATTCATTATATTTTTATTCGGCACTTATTCACTCAATCTCTGAATAATTTATATTTTGTGGACATATAAAACAAGTCATTAAATAATGAATTATGTTTTGTGCGATGAGTGACTGTCATTGAATGCCATTTTATAGTACAGGTGCTCCACTCTCTGCCCAAACAATATTAAACATTGATTGTCCATCAAAAAAGGTTTTGCTTTAAATCTTAAAGCAAATCAATTTGTATTAATCTATTAAATATAATTTATTGATTGTTTTCTTCAATATTGACGTGAATTATCAACATTTGATATTTCAGTACTAAAATTTCGAAAACATTTAATATTATGTATTAATATAATGACATCAAAAGACATAGCATTTCTTTTAATGTCAAACTTAAAGTTGGGGTCAATTGTCATATATATATATAATTTAAATTTATGTACAAATATATACTATAATTAAATTACAATAAAATTTTGTTTTTATTTCTATTTTAAGTTTTTAATTTTAATAAAATATAATAAAAAATAACCGGAAGATTTTAAAAGTTAATATAAAGTATATCTCATAAGTTTAGGTATTTGTTTGACTATCACTTTGAAATGTCAGTGCTCTTCGTGTTGATTATTACGGTGACTCTAATCCACCCATTTTTACGTCTCTCATCCATTCATTTTACTTTCAATATTATCTTCAGTACCTTTAAGTGCTATGTTTTACACAAATCCATTAATGTTTGGGTGTAGGTATCCATTAGGGCTGTCAAACAGTGCCATAATAATAGAATTACCTGAAAATTTGCAAATACTTTCCTAAATTACTAGATTTACTCTAAAATATTATTTCTAAAATTTACTTGCATTACAATATATTTAAACAAATATTACTAGAAAACTTTCTTTAAAAATTATTACATTAACATCAAATGACATCATCTATAATAGGTGAGGCTTTATCTCCCTATTAACCCATTCATATAGTGATTCACTGAGAGGGGAAGAGAGAGAGAGAGAGAGAGAGAGAGAGAGAGAGAGAGAGAGAGAGAGAGAGAGAGAGAGAGAGAGAGAGAGAGAGAGAGAGAGAGAGAGAGAGAGGTAAATGGTTAACAATTTTAATAATAATATTCGGTATTTTCATAAAACATCTTTTTATATATATTGTTGCCATTTATGTCCAAAAAGTCTCACCACACCCTCCAGGGCTCAAGTAATGAGACATTATTTTAACAAATTATTTATAGCATTTGCAAAATATTTGGATTCACTAGTATTTTTCATACTCTGTATAGCATTTACTTAAAATCTACTCATTATTTGCATCTTTTAGTTTTTGTTTGTTTTTTGTGACCAACTTTATAATCATTACAATCATTACAGGAGTGCGTTAAGAAAAGTATGAGAAAATGGTTGACGGATTGGGAAAAGGTGTTAAATATGCTATGTTTGCAGCAAATGGTGTTATTTTTGTAAGTATTTTTAAAATCATTAATTTTTGTTAATCTTATTAATGAAGTTATTTTTAAAATTATTAAAGTTATTAAAATATTATTCTACAAATAATTGCATAAAATATTGGTAATAATTTGTATATTAATTGATTATAAATATTTTTATTTATAGATAGGAGGACTGGTAGTGTTTTCAGTAGGAGTATGGACACTAGCAGATCGGTCTTTTATGGAGCGCCTATTAGGCAGCAATCTATATGTAAGTTAAGATAAATTATTTTCAAAAATTTAATAATATTTATTTAACTGATAGGTAGCCTCAGCCGCCCTATTGATAGCAGCGGGTGTAGTGGTGGCTATCATATCATTTTTAGGCTCTTTAGGCGCTTATAAAGAGATCCGTTGTATGCTTTTGACGTTTTTTGTCATTTTATTCTTCATATTCTTACTTATGCTTATCGGAGGAATCCTGGGATATGTATTCAGAAATCAGGTTTTAAACAATATTTACGACACAATACTATATATTTAATTGTAATAATAAATTGTTGTTAAGGTTGACGAGCGTATGAACCGAGAGATGATAGCAACGGTTGCGTTGTATAAAAATGATTCGGCCGTTACTGAAGTAAAACTAACTTTTAATTTTAAATTCATTTTTACATTTTTTTTTGTAATTGAATTAACTGTATAATGAAGTGAAATATATTTTAATAATGTCTTTAAAAATATAAGAACTTATAAAATATCTATAAATTAATAATATATTTCTTTGTTATATAAATACTGACAAACGATGACAGGCCTGGGATTCCGTGCAAAAGAATGTAATTACATATAAAATATGTGATAAAAATAACAAAAATAAATATTTATATAACTAAATAATTTCATAATCAAAATATAGTTCAAATGTTGCGGGATATCAGTAAATACCAACAAAGGGTATGAGATATATCAACGCCAGAATCGGATTCATTTTGGTGGCGGTCAGGGAAAGCCTAAAGTACCGGAAAGTTGTTGCAGTAAAGAGAAAAACCAAAACGATGTCAACAATTGTATGGAAAACCCAAAGGATAACACTTTACTTTATAAAGATGTGAATTCAATATTTCATTAAATTTAATTATATTTGAATTGTTTTAACTAAAACTAAAATATTTATTCATATTAAAGGATTGCTACGAAAAAATGAAAGATTTTGTTAAAGTAAGTCATTTGTAATATACTATATATTTCATGCAAAATGCTATAAAATAATTTCATTGCTTTTTGCTTGACTGTATAAATGACACATTTTAAGCCAAAAATAAATGAAAAATGACAAAACAATTTCACAAATGTTGAAAGCATGTTACAAGACTAGAGATGGGCAAATAGTAATTTTCTAATAAATTTCCCTGAGAAAGTTTCTAGTAAATTTATCAGGAATAAATTTCTATAGAAATTTAACTTTATTGTTATACTATGGGATCGCCTTATCTATAGATATTGTGATACTATATTAATGAGACATAATAATATAAATATAATATTTTAGTGTATAATGTAGTAACACTAATATACAAATAATGATATTTAAAAAGAATGTTTTGTAGAATTTTATTCATCATTTATTATATATCATAGTTTAATATAATTAAATTAATTAATTTTTATACTTTAATAAATAATCAAAGAACTAATAATAATATTTACAAAATTTACAAAATTTACAAAATTTACAAAATTTACATGGGGATCCTATAAATAAAATTTTTTAGAAACTAGAAATTTCTCAATTATTTTATAAATTTCTCTTTTTCCAATACACTATATAAGAGTGTATTTGTGTATTAATATTAATTTTAAAATTATTTCTAAATATTTTTTTACTTAAGGGTCACGCTTTGCTTGTGGGAGGAATTGGTATTGGAATCGCATGTTTATTAATTATTGGTATGTATTTTATAATATGTTAATTATAAATAAAATCATTTATTTTTAAATTTTAATTATACAATTACTGAAAAATACAATTTTAGATATTATTTCAGTGCTACAATCAAACATAACTGAAAGCATATTAAAATCAATCTAATTATAATAAAAAAAAAATTAAAAGCATAAAATAATTTTTTTTTATAAAAATTATAAATTTTGTTGTAAAATAATTGTTTGCTATTTTGCCAATTCTTCAAGTTTAATATTATTATAATAACTATGAAAAAATATATTTATGATACAATAGTAAAATAATAAAATGCTGTTTTTTAGTTTGAAAACTAATCATTTAAATATTGATTTGTGAAATACTCATTAAATAGATTCGACAAATTACTGGCAAATATACTTTATATACAGTAGTTTAGTATTAATGGTAATAGTATTAAAAATCATAAAACATTGCTTTTTCTCAAACGATTTGTGCTATAAGTTAAGGAATTTGTCAGACTTTCAAAATAATTTTTTGTTACTTTAAATCTCATCGTAAAGCCCTTTAAATGCTTAAGAAAACATTTTTTTGTCTCATTTTAAATGATTGAATTAGAAAAAGAAAGTGAAAAATGTTTCTAAAATAAATTTTAAATATGTATTTGTATAAAATGTATATAATTTGTATGCATAAATGTATAAATATTATGTTATTAATTAAATAACTAATAGTTTATTATTAAAAAAACTAATAAAAAAATGAAATATTAATTAATTAAAATTTTGTTAAAATATTTTTAATTAACTTTTAATGAAAATAATAATAAATTTTAAATATTTATTTAATTTATAGGAATGGTATTATCGATGGCATTGTATCTTATGATTGATTAAGAGTACAATAATATCAAATAAAAGCCTTCAACTTTTGATTTAAGTCACAATTTTAGTCATATTTATTGTATAAACAATAGTTTTATATTTATTAGTTGACATTTAATTAAAATCAATGTTATATAATACATTTATTTTATAATTTCATTATTTATCATAATTTATATCATTCCAAATTAAATCATAATATTATTTTAATTGTATTATAAAATAAATACTTCAATATACATTGACAAATATTTATTACAACTACAATAAATAATATTTAAATATAAACTAATTATTATAATAGTTTGAACTAATAAACAATTATATATTAAGCAAGCAATAATAAATATTAAATTATAAAAATATTATTTTTTAATAGTTAACTAAAAAAGCAATTTAATGAAGTTTATAAATATTTGTTTTATAGTTTTAAAATTTATTTTGATTTTAAGTTTATAAAATATTTGATGAAAGACTTAATTTATTATTTTAAAGTCAATACTAAAAAATTGTAAATAAATTGCAATATTAACTAAATAAATGTAAATTATTATTTTATTTTGTATTATTTTTATATTTATTTAAAATGAAATTAATAATTAGATTTATTAAGTAAATTGTAACACATAATTAATAGATGGTTTAATTTGTAAGTTTCTAGAATTAAAAAATTTTTCTAATTAAAACTTAAAAAATAATTTTTGACAATTATTTTTAATATAGAGATAAATTGTTACACAGAATATGAAATACGAGATTTAAAAATTACGTGAAATAATGAGCCGATTGTTGTGAAACAGTGTGTCTGTGACTCTGTGTATGAAAATGGATGTGCAGTGATGTGTAATACTTGTTGTTATGTTAGTATTGATGCTATACTATCGGTGCTTATAGTTTTGGCTGTCTTTTCACTGCTTGTTTAGGAGAGCTTCACAATGATTTGTAAGGCTGTATATCACTGTATGACTGGAATCTAGAAATGTGGGTCTAATGCACATCACTATCACTACTGCCTTCCAATACATGCCATTACAGCACATCTCGAGGTTGACTCTAATTTTAGCAAACATGAGATTTCCGGACAACAAAATCCTTCGCTCAAAAACTTATACATTAAATACTATGAGAGAGAATAAGACACAAAATATAGACATGAAATGCATTCAAACAGACTCACAGACAGATAGAAAGAAAGTGAGAGAGAGAAAGATAGATAGATAGATAGATAGATAGATAGAGAGAGAGAGAGAGAGAGAGAGAGAGAGAGAGAGAGAGAGAGAGAGAGAGAGAGAGAGAGAGAGAGAGAGAGAGAGAGAGAGAGAGAGAGAGAGAGAGAGGACTAAGAGTGCGCTGTGATGTGTGGCTAAAGATGTTTAAAGAAAGAGTGAATACTTTTATAGAGAGCTGTTGTCTTCAAATAGTTATAATGTTTGCCAAAACATATTGTATATCTGTTTTTCAATTGTTTTCAATTCAATTCTCTTAAATTTTATTACATATATTATAATTATCAATTAATATCATTATTAAAATTATTGTTTTAAAATAGTTGAATATATATATATATATAAATATATTTATTTATGTGATTTAAAAATAACATTTTTGATGACTATAGTAAACTAACATAACTGTGTCTTATCATAAACTGCTATTTCATTATTCAATAAAGTTTTATTGTATTATTATATTATTGTATATCATATATGTTTCTTTATTTGCCATTACATTAGTGTTTATAATAAGAAACCATTTAATATTATTCAATTCAATCCTATTATATATTTTGATTCAAATAATATTTAAATCACATTTCGTATAATAATAACACTAAATAATTAGATTTTATTATTGTTTGAAACATTAAGCCTTTTATCTCATTATAGTTATTAATTACATAAAATTGTTAAACATATACTTACAACTAATACAGTATTGACATTAATATTATGGAAAAACTGATTGTCATTATATTGTATGCCATAAATGGGAAAATCTATTGAAATTTAATTAAACTTAAGAAACACGTGTTGTTAACGGACTACAAGATCTATACAAACAGTGATTACAAGTGTTGAAATTGTTGTGGTATTTACTGTTTGGTATTGTTATGAATAAATTGTATTTAATATGATATATGTAGACGAAACAGAACCGGATGAAGGTATTGACCCATCAATACATTAATACATTAATAATATATATAAATGTATATAAATATTGATAATAACATTCATATAACAGAAGCTGAACCACCTTTCGAGCCGAGGAAAGTGGTCGTCAAAAATAAGGATCCGACAAAAGAGTACAATTTAGCTGAAGAGTTGGGACGGTATGTCATTTCATTTACCATTTATATCAATATAAATATTATATCAATTATTTTATATAAATTTTTAAATATACTAAAAACAATAAGATTTATAATTATAGACTACTAAAACTGTCGACTCTCACAAAATGAGACACTGATTAACAGCAGAAAAAGTTACTTTATTTTTAAATTATTTATATTTATTATTTTGCAAAAACAAAATAATTAATCATTTGATCCCAACTTTTCAATTAGGAATATATTTACGAGAAACAGTTGGCAAATATTTAGTACAGTTTTTGTTTGTAAAAATAATTGTATAAATGTTATGATATTTACTTGAACTTTGTTTGTATTAAAAGTGATATCAAAGTTTCTAATAAATGATAATACAGTATCTAATAGCACAAGTTATTACAAATATTTATATAATTTATCACAACTAAATAGTATAATATAGATATTAAATATTTAAACAATTATAAACGATATCATTATTTATGAAAGTTTATCATCTAATTAATAATAATGAGCTATTTATGAAAACAGTGGCAAATTTGGTATCGTTAGGAAATGTACTGAAAAGTCATCGAAAAAGCGTTTCGCCGCCAAATTTATTACAGTTAACAGAATCGATGACCGACACGAAGTGGAACGGGAGGTCGATATTATGCGATCCTTACAACACCCCCGACTCTTACAACTGTACGACGCCTTTGATGACGGAAAGACTCAAATGTGTCTTATTATGGAATGGTTTGTATTGTATTATATTTTTTAATAAATGATTATTTGCTAACAAATGTTGTTTTTTCTATATATAATCATATGATTGCTGACAATCAATAGTATCGAAGGGGGAGAACTGTTTGAAAGAGTCATTGACGACGATTTTGTCTTAACAGAGAAGGCGTGCACTATATTCATGAGACAAATCTGTGAAGGAGTCGAGTATATCCACTCACAGAATATTCTTCATCTCGATATGAAGGTATGTCTCATTAATTACTACTTAATAATAATAATTTTAATAATTATCATCTCATACTTAATACTATATCATAAATATTATACAACATTAATAAATGAGATTTATTTATTAAATAGTCAAATGATTACTTATAAGTTATAACTCATTAGTCACATTTAAAGTTTACTTATAATATTTGATTTTCAAAATATTAAGATTTAACTAAACTTAATTTATTAAATTAGACAATCATACTAACAAAAAGACAAATTACCAATGAATCAATATTTATATAATAATCATTTTGATTGAGTGCACTCGCCCTTCAATTTAATAATCAAGTTTTGGCTTATTGCCCATTATAAACTTTTTATTCAATGTAGTTATTTGATATATATTATTATTATTAATAATTATAATACACAACTCTATGTTTGAATGTTAGAAAATATTTATTATTCATTTGATGTCATTTACATTATTTTGAAATGAATTCCTGAGACAAAAATGTTACACTAATTTATAATACTATTGCAATATTATTATATTACATAATGTATATAATACTATAATTGAATAGACACGATCATATTATTTTATAAATTTTAACAATAGTTATTTGAAACTATCAGATCTATTATTTAAATTTTTTGAGTTTTTTATAAATTGTATATATTTTTATAAATAATTTACATTTTCTTTAGTCATTTTGTGTCTTTATTTGAAAGACAAGTGTAACTGTTTGTAAAAATAAATTTAACAAATCTTATCTATTTTTATAACACAAGAAACATTATAATTTGTTTTTCAACGATTCAATGACTGAATTTATTTTTTGATTTTTATGAATAATGTCAGTATATGTGTTAATATAAATCAAGTTTGTTTTGGAATGTTATCGATAAACTTAATTTAACCGAAAAATAGTATTTTTAAACATTTTTCAAAATATTATAGTTTAAGATTTTTAGTATAAGTTATAATATTAACGTTTTTATTTAAACTAACATTTTTAATTTATTGATATTATAAATACTTATAAATTAAAGCTATTATTTTAATTTATTGTTTATAAAATATGAAAAAATTCTTTTAAAATTTAAGTTAATCTTTATTAATAAAACATGTAGTGAATTTTAGTTATTATTATAATTAAGTATTTAAAATGTGTACACATTGTTTATTTTATATTCAATAAATTATATCATTTATTAAAATATTTTAATGCAAAAAAATCTAAATTATTTTTCAATAAAATAAAAAATAATATATTATGTTATGTTAAAATAATTGTAATGTTGGCATACTTTTAATAAAATTTTAAGAGTAAAATAAATGAGAATTTAAATTTTAATAAACGATTTTACTAATATTAGAATTAGTTTTATAATTAGTGTTGAAAATTAAAAAAAAGTTTTCAATCAAAATTTCTATTAATTTCTTATGAATTGTAATAGTAATAATAATATAGACATTTGTTAATTTTAGTAAACATTATTATTTGAAATTTTCAGTGTATGATTGATAAATTAACGTTTGAAATAATTTAAATATCAATATCATAAAACATAATGTATAGATTGATGTTAAAAATTGTTGATATTTTACTCTAAATATTCATTTGTTAACTGTGTTTATGCAGTTAAGACTAATAGAGAAATATAATAAATTGGTAGTAAAGTTAAGACAAAACATTAAAATATACAGTAGTTTGAAAATCGTTTAACATAAATATTATATATATATTTTTCAGTGAATTTTTTTAAAGCTATAAAATGTAAGTTAGTTTATCATTGAATATTTTATCAAATTTCTAATGTTATTTTACTATTTGGTAAACACATTATAAAAAATAGATAATTTGTTTATTTTGATTAGGATTAAAAAGAAGAAAAATGAATAAGTATAACAATATTAAAGAAAATATTTTTGAGTTTTTTTTTAAATAATATTGAATTAAGTTTTTGACAATTTTTTTAAATTGTGCTAATTTTTAATGTAATTTCAAGGTTAACACCCCTTAAACTCTAATGCTTGCTATCATACTTAATGAGATTTGTTTTCAAAAATTAACTGAAAGCCAAAATTACAAATTGGCTTTTGTCTACATTAATAGCTTTAATGAAAATAATATATAAAAACCCATTAATGAATGCTAAATAAAGAATAAAAAAATGCTTTTAACAAAACTTATTTTAAAACTACAATTTAAAGTAAATTCTGTTATTATAATTCTATTAATAATAATATAAATACTGTACATAACATTATTTTATAATATTTATAATTTATTGTGAAAAATGTTATTAACATTATTGTATATAAAAATTGTAATTAAAACATATGTAAACTTTAATGTAAACTTACTAAATTACTAGAATTATTAGAAATTATTATTATTTTAATTTCATAAATATTTTTATAAACAAAATTGTTTTTTGAAAGCCGGAGAACGTGTTATGTGTGACGCGAACCGGGAATCGCATAAAATTAATAGATTTTGGATTAGCCCGTCGTTACAATAACAATGACAAACTACAGGTGCTGTTCGGTACTCCAGAATTTGTAGCGCCAGAAGTGCTCAACTTTGAAGAAGTTGGGTTTACCACAGATATGTAATGACACTTACACTCAAAATTAATTGTTATCTCTAAATATAAATTGTTTTATTAATATTGTCTCTAATGGACTAATGGACAGGTGGGCCGTTGGTGTTATCTGTTATATACTGTTAGTATAAATTATTATGGGTTTAATTTGAGTCAATATTATAACAAGTATTTGTTGTTATTGTATAGTCTTTCGGGTTTATCACCCTTTATGGGTGACAGTGATTTGGAAACTATGGTTAACGTCACGAGAGCTGAGTTTGATTTCGATGACGAGTCATTTGATCCCATCTCGGATGAGGCAAAAGATTTTATATCATGTTTACTAATTATGGACAGGGAGTAAGACATCTAATTAATTAATTAAAAACTTATTTAAAATACAAATATTTATTTGGTTAGCCAACGTATGACAGCCCGACAGTGTCTAAATCATCAGTGGTTGCGGGTGAGTGTTACACCAACGCCACCACCAGTTCCAGGTTTAGATGAGGGCAAACTGTTTGAGGTGAGGTTAGATTTGGCCAACAGGTTTGCATAGGTTTGCTGTGATCCCCAATCAAAATATCTTAAATTTATAGTATGGGTGTCTAAAATGGGATGACTTATTGCATTTTATTGCACAGTTTAATGCAATACTGAAGTTTGTTTTAAAATTATATTATTTAATATTTAGTTTTATTGTAGTTAAGTATTTTAGATTAGTTTTTATTAATTTCTATTTTAGTTGAAAATGCATTGTTCATTGAAAATTTAAATTATCAATTACAATTTTAACATTTTTACTATAACTGCATCAATCACACAATAATTACCATTAAAGGTAATGTTTGCATAATGTGTTTGAAACTTTAAAAATATACAATATCATATATAATTTATAATTTATAAATATATAACAATTAATAATTATGGCATTGGATGCATTGGAGTTATTTTATCAATGTTTAATATATATTATATATTATTAAATTTGTATTACATTTAATATAATTGTTTTGAAAACATATAGAAAGGGAAGAAGAAAAAGATGGAACAGAGTCTCGACAAGAAAAGGCTTAAGAAGTTTGTTATAAGACGTCGATGGCAGGTATGGATCAGTCATATATAACTGTCATAATTCATGGCAACTCAATATTTATAGTATCACTTAAAATAAATTTTTCTAATTTATCAGATTATTAGCAATATTTGACAATCATTTTTATTGTTTTTTATTATCATAACATTTACAAAGTTAATACATGTGTAAAAAAGTTGGCTCACAATTAGGTTTACATTTTTTAAAGTCATATAAATTACTAATCAAATTATAATAATAGCGTAATTCAGTATTAGAATTGAGTTTAAACATTGTATGACATCTATTCAGTGTTAAGTTAAAACAACAAATAATAACATTTATAATATTTTAATATTTTAATTGTTTAATGTCTTATAAATTTAAGTATTTATATTTTAATGTAAATAATATTTTACAGAAAGCCGTTAATGCAATTTTGGCTCTAAAAAGAATGGGAGCCGTTATTTGATTCAATATTTTAGTATATATTAGTTTAAAATCTGTGCACAATTATCAAGGTTTGTAACTTATAGTTATAATTAGTATATAATAAAAACTTAACAAATTTTAATTATTTTTTTCAGATAAATCATCGCAAGAATTTCAATATTTAAAACTTGATTTTTTTTAATCACTAATTTTACAGAATTTTGATCAATAAATTCAGTATAAAAATATTTCTCTAAAGTTTTATTATTATATACTGTGTTTCAAATCTATTTGAGGACTGTTTATACAAATTACAAAATATTTAATATAAATCTATTGTACATTTGATAAAATTTATAATTAATAACAATTTGCAGACTTTAAGCCAATCAACGTTTTTATGAATTAATTAGATATTTTAAATATATTAAAAAAAACACTATTTTTACTGTTTTACTATAAGATTAAAATTATTTATTATCAAAAAGATAAACAAGATAATCAAAAATATTGTTAATATATCATTAAAGACTTATTGTATTAATTTTTAAATTATATAATTTATTTTGTTGCCTTATGTTTTTGATTGATTGTTAAATTAATTTTTTGTTTGAATATTTGATGTGAAAATAATTAAAAACATTTTTTAAAAATATTATCATCGATATAATGTGTAATAATATAGTAATTTATTTAATGATATCAATAAATTGGTAAAAATATATCAAACAATATATCTTATTATAAGACTTATAAAATTAGTTAAAAATTAATTACATGTTCACTAATAAATTAGAATTTAAAATTTAATGACACAAATTGATGTTCAGTATATGACAATTGATTAACTGTTTGAATTAAAAAGTGTGGAATTAAAACAAAAAAATAATAATTAAATTACTGCAACTTTGATATCACTTTTTAATTTATACAAACAATGATTTTTAAGAAGTTTAGTTTATTTTTTAAACATTAATATCATTATTACAAAAATTGATAGTTAGAAAAGGTAGAATAGATAATTAAATAATAATAACTTAATTTATAATTTAATAGTTTATTATTACGGTAATAAAATTATCATTTTTAACAACTATTGATAATTTTTGATATTATTATTTAGTTTTCATATAAAACTTTTTAATAAAAAAATCTCTAGTTTATAAATTATTGTTGTTAACAAATAGTTAACGAGAATTTTGTCGTATTTATATATTAATTGTAACTAAAAGATTTCTATTTAAAAAATACATTTTCATAAATTATATATTAATTAAGTAAAGTTTAATAAGTTATATGTTCGTAAATTTCACTGCTTTTTGTCGCAATGATTTTAGTGATAAAAGGGTTTTTCATATATTTGTTCCGGGCGGTTTTTGCTATAATTCTTTAACGGAATGAGATATGTAAATTTTGTAAAAAGTGTATTAAAAAGTGATTTACTCGTGATATTATAAAATATTTTAATTTTTAATTTGAATCACGTGATCATATTTATTCTGTGATGTTTGCAAACCACTATGTCATAACCTAAGTTATAAATGATATATTAAATATTTCATAGAAAATTTGTAAAGCTTATATTGGAAATTTATGGGAAGAAATTTTTTTTAAATTGGCTAAAAAATAAATTTATTATGGCTTTTCAAACTTGTAAAAAAATACATTATATAAAATAATCGAAAATAAAATGACGTTATTTATGGATAGTAGATACATATTAGATAAAGATTTTAATACTATTACTTATTGTAAAAGTAAAAATTTTTTATGTCGAATATTTTTTTAGATAATCAAATTTAAATACAAAATACTTTATCGAATTATAATATTGTGTTTTTATTGTAAAATTTATATATTATAATATTAATTATATATATTAATATTTTATAATATCACGCGTAAATCACTTTTTAATACACTTTTTACAAAATTTACATATCTCATTCCGTTTAAGAATTATAGCAAAAACCGCCCGGAACAAATATATGAAAAACCCTTTTACATAATAAATATTAAATATACAAATTGTAATAATTAAAAAATATTTTTTACAATTATTAGTAATTGATATTTAAGTTATTATAACTTTTAATTTTTAATAATTTTAAAATTTAACTATTTCTTGTTATTGTGTATTATTATATCTAAATTCATAATATCTAGTATCAATATATTATAGTAATAATAAATATACTATATAATAGTTATAAACAAGACAGTTATTAAAGTAAAATATATATTGTATAAAATGTAATCATTAATCATAAATATAATAATATAGTGTTAACAAAGTTTAAATGTGTTGTATCTGGCGGTCAACAAATCTTAATTATGTTTATATAAGTTGTATATATTATATAATATTAAAGAATAACATGTTTAACAATATTGTTATTATGCATATTATAAATAGAATAAGTATTGATAGACTATAACAATATTGATAAATGATAAAATCTAATATACAAATTATTTCAAAAAATAAATGACCTATCACATTTTCAAAATTAAATTAAAGTACAAACTATAATACTATTCATTTAATACATTAAAGTAAAATTGACCTAAAAGTGTTTATATTGTTAAGTATATTATTATTTAATACTTATTAGTTGTATATTAAAAACCTTAATTTAATAGAGTATATCATTTGACCAAATAATCAACGATTTTAAGTGTTTTAAGTCGAGAACTCTCTTAAAGATTTATTTTCTATGAAGACCTGACAGACATTTCACTTCACTCTTAAAAACAACATTTTGTCTAAAAATATCTTTGAAATCTTCAGTTTTTGTTTAGTGATTTATTAAACACAAAAGTTATCATAAATGCATATTTTGGATTATTATTGCACACATATTTATAATTTTAATTTAACTTATTTTATAAAAATACATAATTATTGAAAAAAATAGTTAGTATTAGTTGCAAAATTGTTATCTTATAGTAACTAATATTATATTTAACTAAGATTTATTATTTTATACTAAATAAAATAAGTTTTTTGATCTCCACTTAATAAATAAGAATAAATAACAGTAATTTATTATAAATATAATTAAAATGTGATCATTTTATTTAAAGAAATTTTATCAATATAAATGTTGATTTTGTTATAAAATCAAATTTTATTATTCATATTTTATGAAAATTAATTATATATTTTTAAAATTATTAAATAATTATATTATTTAGTTATCATACATATTTTTAAAATGCTAATTAAACAACAACAAAATTATTCAAAAATTCAAAATTAATATTATAGGACATCATAAATTTATTATAAATAGATTTAATAAATAATTTGTTAATAGTAAGGTTGATAACTTACAGTAATTCATTTTTAACTGTAATTTGAATATAGTTCACAGTTATCTGTGTTAGTTTTGGTATACATGAATGACATTTTTATATTTTAAATTTTGCAATCATTGATTCCAATGAAATCAATTTATAATAAATTAATAAATAATTTATAATTTCCGTAATTCACTATACATTGATATTTTACATAAATTACAATACTATATACAATACAATATAATTAATAATAATTTATAAAAAATATTATATATTAATATAATTAAAAGTAAATATAATATATTTATAAATGAAAATAATAAAATTGTTTGTTTACATTTACAAAGATATTTACAAGATGTAAAATGTAATTTATTTAAAAATTACAATAAATGTGTGATAAAATTTACAATTAATAATTGTGCCAAAATAAATAGTAAATAATTATTTGTTATTTTTCTTTAAATAATAATTATTATTATTGTATTTGTAGTTTGATATTTAAATAGTATGAAAAATGCTTTTAATAATCTTATATTAATATAAATCTATTTTTACATTATTCAGTCATTAGGTTTTATTTTGTCAAAATTTAGAGCAATATTACTATTTTAATCTCCAACTCATATACAAGTATTTCATATACTATAATATATGTGTGTATGTCGTATAAGTAAATACTCTATAATATAATGTAGTATAAAATTATTTATTTTTATTTATTTTTTGTTTTGTGTTTTAGTGCTTTATAGTATAATTTAATTTTTTTAAATCCCAAAAAATTCCCAAAAAAAATTCTATAAATTTAATAGAGTTTTATTTTATTTAATTATAAATATATTAATTTTAATCAATAACGTAAAACTTTATTTGTATTAATAAAATATATAATTTATATATTTTTATTATTCTAATTTATATGTGTTTCAAATAATTCATATAAAGAAAGTTTAGATTAGTTTAAATAAAATTAATTTTTGAAATTTAAAGTATTTAGAAATTAAATAATTTTTTAGACATATTGTTTACGTTCAAAAAATGTTAAAAATAAATTAAATGTAATGATTAAAATAGTAACCAATGATTTGAAAAGAATACAATATATAACATTAATTTATTTAACTACATCATTTATAATATTGTGTAAATTTAAAAAATTAAGTTTTTTAATTATCAAAATGATACAAAAAATATTTTAAGATTTTAAAAATAATTAAAAATAGTAATAATTTTTGAAAAGTAACCAAAAAATAATATATAAATTTATATGTAAATTAAAGTGAATGTGTGAGACACCAATTAAATAGTTTTACAGTAAATGAAATAAATGTTTGTTTAATATAAATAAAAATATTAGTGAATAAAGTGTATATATAATGAAATGTTGTATTGGAGGGCATGTCTTGCCGTTTGGCACTCATATCCAATGCTCTCATTTGCAAACAGTATTACATTGTTTTGATTGTGATATTATAGTTAAGTTCCTTAAAAGTCTTCAATCGAGACAAACATTAATTTATTTTGTGATGAGGTTTACGCTTGAGATGCGAGTCGTGTGCAAACATTGTATGCTTTTGAGACGCATCCCAAACATCCCGATCCCACCCAACATCACCAGCTTCTTGTGTCCCAAACATCTATTAAATCGTTTTATTCAAACATCAAGTTTTCGTTGAAATAGTCAAGTGTTTGGTTAAGACATATATTTGTTTTAACTTTGAATTTACATTTATTTAAATTTAATACAAGTAAGTAAATTTATTAAATGACTAAATTATTGCTGATATATTTTTATAATATATGAATTAACAATATGAATTAAAATTATATAAATGTAATATTTTATATAAACTTAAATATTATTTCATTTATAATGCTATTTTTTAATTATTAACAAATAATTAATTCTAATTAAATATTTTATAATAAATTTTTATATAATGGTTTTTTAGATTATAAGTTGTGTTTAATAAGATTCTATAATTATTGTCTATTTTATATATAAACTAATATTATATAAGAATATTAAGAAATCTATTTTTAGATTTTGCAATAAACAGTTTAAATGACATATTTAGAAGTATTTGAAAACATTATATAATATATAGAGAATTCTAATTTATAGAATATTCCTTAATATATAGTTTACTAAAACTTTAAATAACTCTATATTTAATAGAATTTTTAAAGTTTATTAAATTATATTCTTAAACAAATTTAAAATAAATATTATAATTAATATTAATGATATTAATTATTATGATAAAAACAAATGGATAGCAATAACAATGCCATTCACACCAGTCCCTCAATCACAATGTGGTAAATGCCAAAAGCCTGTCTATGCGGCTGAAGAAGTGCTCGCAGGAGGTCTTAAATGGCATAAAGTGTGCTTCAAATGCGGTATGTATTCAATAATAACTGCTATATTTATATATATATTTAATATAATTTTTAACCAATAAATTAGATTTGTGTCATAAACGATTGGACAGCACCAACAACAATGAACATGCCGGTGCCCTTTACTGCAAACAGTGTTACGGCAGAAAATTTGGTCCCAAAGGCTATGGATTTGGTGGCGGTGCCGGTGCTCTTAGTATGGACAAGGGTGAGCACTTGGGCAACACTACAACCGAGATGTCGTAAGTTTTTTATCTCATTATATTATGTTTTTGATATTAATTATAATGATCGGTATATTATGTTTCAGAAACAAGCCAACCGGTGTCAACAATTAATTACCATTTCTAAAAAATGCTTTTATCTCACATAACAAATGTGTTTATTTAAAATTATTTAATTGTGTCATTGAATTTAAAGCAAATATTACAAATAATAACCAAATAAAATCTTTGATTGACTGTTGATATTTAAATTATTAAATCATTTATATTATACTTTATATTATAAATATTATGCGAATATTTATTATAGTATTAGGTTTTGCACCAAAAGTGCCTTAAAATTGAATACAATTTATGTTTATTAGTATCATTTAATGTTTATTAATTCATAGTTAATATGTATTTTAAACACAAAACTTTGTTTTTTGAAGTTAAATAACGATTTTAAACTAAATTATAAATATTATTTGTATACTTATAAAATAAAATTACAGTATATATGTCAATTATGCCAATGTATAAATAAAATAATAAATAAAATTATTTTAAATTTATATTGATATTGACCAATTAAGTTTAGTATAAAATTACTAGTAATTGATTTTTTATGTCATTATTAAAACTAGCAAATAAATAAATGATTTTAGCAAATACTTAATTCTTGTAAATTATTAAAACTTTTAAAAATATAATAATTAAAAATATTGTAATACTATATCTATACTAATATCTATAAATACTAATTTGTAAAAATGATTGAAAAAATTCTGTTTGAAATATTTAAATTTTCAATTAACATTAATTATTAAATTATTATAATTAAAATAATCAAATAATTAATAATCAAAATAAATGTCAAGTAATATTTATGTTTACAATTATTATAAGGTTATAAATTATATATATAATGTAAAAGTATCGCTTTATATATATCAATATTACAAAAGTAAACTAATAATTTATATTTTTAAATGTAAAAATATTAATTTTAAAATTAATCTTTTATTTATAAAAACATAATAAATATAGTATTATAAATATATTTAGTTAAAAATTTATTAAATGAATATAACTATAAATATATGAATAATACTGTTATACTGTATGTAAGCAAGTATTGGTCAAAGGATAAGATGTAGCCTTTGATGTGGTTATCGATACAAATGGCTTAATATTATGTCATTAATGTTAGTCTTTTGCTAAGAAATTTGAGTTACAATCAGTTGTAATCCAATCACATCTTAGGAATTATAGACTCAGTCAGTGATACTATTTCTTAATATATATATAACAATATACAGTATTTTTCTAATATATATAAATATAGTAAATATTCATTGTTTGACTTTTTATTACATATTACATGTCGTAAACTAAATTGATTTGAGCTTATAATCCCTTTGTGGTCAATGAGAGGCTTGTCTTATGCCTCAAACGATATATTTATTTTCATTTTTACTCTCATTAATCCTTTTTTGGCAAAACTTTATTATATTGAAAGTAAAATAACATCACAACAACAACAACCACTAACCATAATACCAACGCCACCAACAACACCAATACCACCAACACCTACATAATATCTAATACCATATCCATTGTCGATAGGCTACCGACTCCAATGTCTTTAATTCATTTCTCTATACAATATATATATAAATGAATTTTCATCGGATATCTTCACTTACTTGTAGTGACAGACATCGGGAAAGACTATTAAAGATAGTGTGAAAACTTGATAAAAGTCTTTGTGTTTGCTTTTAATTTATAGCCAATAAATTTTATATAAAATTTTACTTATTTATGTCATTGTTTTTAAAAAATTATCCTTCATTTATAGTTTAAAATATTATTATTGTTTTTATAAAATTTGCCAAAAATATCAATTAAATGTATTTAATGGATGTTTTATACTTAATATCACTCATATTCGCAGGTATGATATTATTAATTTTCAAATACTTTAACTTTAACTTATTACAATAATAATTATTATTTTAATAATTTGAAATAAATTAACTATAATTACTCTGAAAATACTTTAAACAAATATAAATCGTTTATTAAACTATAATATAAAATTTAACAAATTTAATAGATTATAATGTAAATAAAATTAATGTTAGTAGACATTTATGCCAATTAATAAACTAAGTTATAAATTATGAGAAAGTTAAAAAAGTTTTAGTTTTTTATAGTGCATTAATTTATAGTCGTAGTAGTTTTTATATTTTTTAATAATCATAAATTAGCTTGATTATAATAAAGAAAAACTATTTGCTACTCACTTATTCTTATTGTATTTCTATTTAATTTAAAAATTATAACAATTTTTTTATTTCTATACTAAATAACTTGAATTTTTAAAGCGTTTTATACTTAAATTAAATACAATTGAAATTAAATTAAGTATATTTGACATTACATATTTTTATATAATAAATTAATTTATAAATTTCAAATTAAGTTAAATTTTATTAAAAAATTAATGATTATCATTTTAATTAATATTAATAAAACTATAATGATATATGAATAATAATAATTATGTGAATACAACTTGTTATGTATCTCATTGCTTAATGCTGAATAAAAATTATTATTATTACTAATACTAATGCTTTTAAAATGTTGTGTCAAAAGTTATTTTGTAATATTTGTTTTTTAAAAGTTTAATCTAAAGTAGATAATTTATTGTAATTATTTTACCTAAAAATAATTTTATAAATAAAAAAATATTGACATATACCGTCCGTACGCGCATATACCTGCCCCCTAGGGCATCAGGGGCTAAATGTAAAACTATAGGACTATATGTGAGTTACAGCCCCATATCAAAAGTTTGATTTAAGGAATTCACAAATAGCCCCACTATTAAGGTTTTTAATTGACTAAATTTACATTACGTTGAACCATCCCCCAATCGTTTTCTACCCCCACGACTTCACATATAGCCCCAGTAGTGGGTATATGTGAGTTACAACCTCATAAAAGTTGTTTTATTTGTTAAAAAATCCGCAATAGAGGTTATATGCGCACACATACGGTAATATTAGGATTGAATTTAACAAATGTTAGTCATTTATCTCTTAAATAGGATACACATTAGCTTACAGTTGGGACTCTAGTAATGGAGAATATGAGAAGAGACAGTTAGTACCACTGCCGAGGTTTGCATTTCTTAAATATTTAAATAAATTGTTAATTATTTTAATTATATTTAAATTGAATTAAAGGATAGGAAGATCTTATAGTGAAGAGAAACGTCAGGGTCTGATCCCGTCTCCACGTGTGGGCCGTTCGTCACCATCTAATGGTATCGATATCTCGTGTGCTCTGAATCTTAAGCTTTGCCATAAAGTGTTGGATTATCTAAACCTGCATGAAGTGCATGACGGCTCTCCTTTCCTAAACTCACCCCTTTTGGCGGCCCGTAGAAAGAGGTCAACCATTGCTGACGATTATACTAATGATTTGAGTGACGATGACTTTGAATTAATTAAAACTTTGCGTTCAAATACCTGGGATATCGACGTTAAGAATGAAAACTTATTTCAGCGCAATGCCCGCCAACTTATTCCGGCCCCGAGGGTCGGCAGATCTGGTCATAAGTCTCATAACAATCACATCCAATTACTTTCAGGTTATAGTAATTCCGATGACAACGATATGATGGTCGACCCAATAGACCTGCAATTGAGGGCTGCATTCATCCCACGTCTGGGAAAGAGAACAACATATAAGCCGATCGATCGATTGAGTGATTCGGATGACACCTATAAGAGGGCCGCGTCTTTCACGCCTCGCATCGGGAGAGCGGCGTTCACACCGAGGATCGGCAAAAGGGCTTCATTTGTGCCCAGAATTGGACGATCGGTTAACAAACTCGACAAACACTAAACATTTTTCAATCATTATTTCTCATTTATTTTCTATTTATTAATTAATTTTAGCAAAACAAATAAATATAAAGCAAATAATAATACTTTAAAATTATATTTTATTTAATATTTATTATATCAAAAATGTATTAAATAATAAAATTATAAAATATTACTTAATTTATTAATCATAAATTGATACATACGGTATATTATTGCAAAGTAAAACTATTAACTTATAGTAATGTATTAACTATGTATTTACAATTTATTAAGTATAGTTAAATATTAAAACAAATTTTGTTATAAACTAAAATGTTTATAAAAGCTAGTTTATATTAATTGTTAATTTAATTTTTGTCGAAATAAAATAAACTAAAATATGATAAAATATAAAATTTAGAAAACTAGATAATATATAATATTTTAAAATGTCAATAATATAAAATGTATGTCATATGGTGTAAATTATTAAAATTCATAAATTAAATATTTAAAAAATCTATATCAAAAAATTGCATTAAAAGTACATTTATTAACAATTTCAGCTTTTATTAAGTTCAAAGTACAATCACGCGTATAGTATTTATAAAATATTTTTATTGCTAAAAAAAGCTAAGTCAATAATAATGAAATAATGTAATGTAAAATGTCTATTGAATAGTAATCAATGAATTCAAGTGATACTATTTTAGCTATAAATTTGACACTATTTGAGCTAAAAATTTGCTAAAAATTTAATTAAGACTTAAATTTCAGAAGTTTAAACATTTTTAATAGTTATAAATATAATTTACTATATATTATAAATGATAAGGTATTTTAAACTATATTACTATACTAAATATTATACTTTATTACTTTATAAACTACTTTAGTATTATAAAGTTAATAAATCTAGACATTTTAAAGACGGCTAATAGTTTATCTTTTTAAATATGATACTATACTGTATAGTCTATACAAATAAAATTGATATTTTCAACAAAGTTTTTCTATTTAAGTTTAAATTCTTTAAAACGTGAATTTATTTTGATTAATCTAATGTATTAACACTTTATTATAAACAATTAAAATGATTAGAAAAATGTTCATTTAAAAAATACAATTTAGTTGTAACTTAAATTAAAACTACAAATTGTAAGATACAATTATTTTATATTATATTTGTTATTAATTTAAATTTAGAACATTTCAACTAAATTAAGCAACAATTTAATAAATAGACTTAAATTTAGTTATTTTGTCATATAATTAGCATATATTGAACTTTCTCTAAACTATATATGAAATACCTGTCGATCTATTTATGAGTCAACCCTTTAAGTGTACTGTAAGTGATAGTACTGACAATAAAAGTAATACATTTATATGTCTATACTTACAACTCAACAAATTTAACTAAACATTGCAACAAAAAAATTATAATTAAATAAACTATTAATATTTAAAATACAGTCTTTTTAATATATTGTTGCACCTAAAAATATATTTTTTTTAAACTTTAACAAATGTTTTAAATACTTAATATTACTATATTACAATTTTCATTAAAATATTATAGAAATTATTAATTTAAATGTACAATTTTAATACTATACAAACATTATATAAATACTTTTTAATTCTGTAAAACTAAGTTAAAAAATAAATTGTTTGCCATATTATTTGTAGCAAAATGTTTACATTATTGCTATTTTTATTGAGTCGACAAATAAATGATTTTATTTTATTATTACTATTAGACTTAATTACTATAATTTGCCTATCCTAACTGTTTTCAATTTCTATAATATTAATCTAATAAAATTTAATTGCATTTTTATTTCACATATTAAAATTAATTGTGTGATATAATATTAAGCAACAGTTAATATATGCTTTTATATTTATCATAATATATTATTAATAAATTAAAAATATAATTATTTATTTGACAATTTTGATTTACAATATGTCAACAACTAAAGAACATGTATTACTTTTTTTTGCATCATTTATATGACATTTTAACGTTCACTACAATAAAAAAAACACAAACTTATATTATAAGACTATATTTTTGTATTTAATTTTCTATTATTATACGTAACATTAGCTAACAGTAAGTTATAAAACTAATATTTTGGTAAACTTTTATTACTTTCATTGTCTTATCGTTTTGGACAGACATTACACGTCAGTTAACGAGCCATTGATTGTCGGCCACAAAGACAACACAAAATACTGTATTTGTTATTTGTTTTGCTAATATAAGACTATTGATAAATAAGTCAAATATTTTATTATAAAAATTAATTATTGCCAAAACATTTATTATAAGTCATTTACAAAATAATGGTCAAACTTATAATAAGGAGTTTTCCATAATTATTATACCAAGTTTTTATAATATGTATATAAAGTATTAATTTATATACATATTATATATTAATAATTTATGTGATTTTTAAAAATGATATAAACAATCTTTGAATATATTTAAATAATATTTGTTATATAGTACTTTAATTATCTACTATATTTTATGTTTTTAATATTTATATAAAAATCATTATATATTATATGTGAATTAAAAATTATTATTTTATAAGAATAATGTGGTATTATATTTGTGTGAATATTTTAAAAGCTTCAAACATAATCTGATATAAAAATACAAAAAATATTAATTCATAATTAAAAATAGTTTAGATTTAAATTTTAAACAAATATTTCAATTAAAATATTTTGTTTAAATTCATTAAACAAAAATAACTAATAACTGTATTTTGTGTAATATGTTATTTAAGAATATATTTAAGAATATGTTTAGTATAGAGTTAAGCAAAGTTTTAGATCTTAGAGGGTTTGTATAGGGGAGGGGGTAAATAGAAAAATGTTGGGGTATTGGATGGGGTATTGGATGGGGTATTGGATGGGGTATTGGATGGGGTATTGGATGGGGTATTGGATGGGGTATTGGATGGGGTATGGGGTATTGGATGGGGTATTGGATGGGGTATTGGATGGGGTATTGGATGGGGTATTGGATGGGGTATTGATGGGGTATTGGATGGGGTATTGGATGGGGTATTGGATGGGGTATTGGATGGGGTATTGGATGGGGTATTGGATGGGGTATTGGATGGGGTATTGGATGGGGTATTGGATGGGGTAACCTTTCTATTGCATATTTAAAGGATAATTTTTTCAAAATCTATGGGGAAAAAATCTACTTAATTATCTAATATATTTACTTTATTAAACAAATAATTCATTTTTGTTTTTAATTACATAATTTTATTAAAATATTGTTATATTTGACTTAATTTTAACATAAATTAAACTATTTTACTAAATTTTATTAAATAATTCAATTTAAATATGTAATTAACAGTTATTACCTAAAATTAGAATTTTATAAATTCGAATAAAATTAGACGCCTTTTGAAGAGTGAGTGAGTGAGTGAGTGAGTGAGTGAGTGAGTGAGTGAGTGAGTGAGTGAGTGAGTGAGTGAGTGAGTGAGTGAGTGAGTGAGTGAGTGAGTGAGTGAGTGAGTGAGTGAGTGAGTGAGAGAGTCATTTCTCATATTTTTTAACGACAATTTGGTAAAAAAGTATTGGGAAAAATTTCTAAATTTTCGTCCTAGGGGCAATATTTTCGCAATACCCCCTTCCCTCCCCCTTGCTAACTCTAGGTTATTATAAATTTTTTTATTTTTTAAGATTTATTACAGTTGTTTAATATTTAAAATATAAAATCTAAATTTTACAGATTTTACATAATATTTGTTAATTCAAATATGTTTAATTAAATTTTATTATTATTTAATTTTCATAATTTATATTTTATAAATAATAATTTTACAAAATTATATATTAACCTAAATATACAGTATTTAACCTTAATTAACATGAAGTGTTACTCTAAAAATACTCTTTTGGAAATACAATGAAAATAAAAATATATTATTATATTTCAATTTTGTTTCATTTTAAAATTGTTATATTAATTAATAATTAATTTTTATATGTGTTCAATATTATAATTAGTATAACAAAAAATTATTTTAAATATTTTTAGTAATTTTTAAGTTATGAATCATAATTTATGATGAATTAAATTTTTATCTAATAACTTAGATAACTTTCTTTTTTTATTAGATAATAATATATTTATATTAAAATTCATCATTTATTTAGTAAATTTTTGTGTAATTTTGAATTAGACATCTGAACATCATTTCCATATTCAGACAAATACTTTATCACTGTTTATCATTTGATTACTTAAAAATATAATAATAATTTACAAAATATTAAAAGCATTTGTATTGTATTATAAAATAATAACATTACTATAAAAATCATCATTGAATTAAACTATTAGTATTTGTAATATTTTGCATTTTCACATTAATATTACAGTAAATAAGTTAATACAAAATATTATTTATTATAAACTGTGTATATAAATAAAAATATATAATTTTGTTTAAAAACTGTTACCTTTGACTTTTTAAGCTAAACATTAAAAAACTTTTTAATTACACTATAGACAAGTAAACAGTATTATTGGATAATCATTTAATTGACTTTTGCTATTCAAATATAAATATATCAAACTTTGTTTCTATTATAAAGTCAAGTGAACAGTGAACTCTGTTTTCACATATTATATAAGCATTTAGTAAACATTGTTTTCCCCAAATGGTTACTAAATTAGTTTCAATGTATATATAATAACGTATATTACTATCCAATCTTTTTCAATCCTAATAAACTGTTTTGTTAATAATTATAAAAGTTTAGCTATTAATTATACAGTAATAGTCATATAATAATATCATAGTTTATATGATCTGTATATAAGCGATATTATGTGAGTAAACATATTTGAATTTCAAACAATATTAAATAAATTGATGAAAAAACATAGAATTAGTGTCTAATCAAATAAATTACATTTTTGTCTGTAGTTTACTTTTAATGCTATTAAATAAAGTGCATTTCATTTTGTATTTAACACACTTTTAA